GACAGCCAAGGCCAACAGCCTTTCACATTTGTGGTGTGAATTCACAGGGTTAAATAGCTTTTCTAGTTGAGATGCCTGTAAGGAAAAGGGAGGTACCAGGGAAGAGCAGAGTTGGAGTTTGATAAGATGTGCCAGCAGGTGGTGTGACTTTAGAACATATAAGAGCTGGGGCCCTGAGCAACTGAGGAGAGGAGTTCAGGGATGTGGGTTGTTATGGCTGTGTCTAGATGTCTCCCCAAAACTTCATGCAGTCATAGGTGGGACTTTACAGAGGTGGCTGGTTCTAGAGTGTGTGATGCTGGGATTAAATGTGTGATACTGGGACTGATTCATAGTGCCATGCTAGGATGAAGGCTGCTTCACCTTGGATGTGAATGCTACCTGCCCTAGGGTGGGCAGCCTGGATAGAATATAAGGGACAGAAAGAGGGCTGCTGTTACTGCTGCTTGTTGCATGCTGCTTCTTCTCTACTTCATTGATTTGCTGCCTTCTGCCTGCCATGAACTCTTTCTCCTCCACGATGCCCTTCTGTGATGCCACCTTGCCTTGGAGCCAGCAACTATGAACTGAAACCTCTACAGACTGTGAGCTAACTAAAACTCTCCTCCTTTAACTTTAGGTGTTGGGTATTTTGTCTCTGCAACAAAAACAGTAACTAAAACACGAGTATAAGAAAGAAAAGGAAGGAAAGAAAAACTTACAGCAAGGACAAGGTTTATTTAAGATAAATACCTGAGAGGGGCCATTGGCTTCAAAGTGTCAAAAGTAATACTCTGTCATAGAGTAAGGATTTATAAGGTGTTAAGGGCAATGATGAAGTTAAGGGCCTGTTGTTCTCAGGATTGAGTCTTTGCATATGTTATCACTGGTCTGTTTCTCTCCTAATCAGGCGGCTGAATATCTTTTGATCAGAAATCTTTTGTACAGTAAACAGACTTAATGGGCTTCATAATTATGGAATGAAGGTAGGAATCTGAGGGGAAAGATGTTCACTGGTTTTTCCCTTCAGTGGGAGTAGATTAAGAACAAGGAGTGAGGGGAGGAAGGTGCCAAAGATGAACTTGCTACTGTTAAAGATTTCCAGTTTTCCCTTGAACACTGGGTCAACTTTCCATCATTGTAACAAAATACCCAACACAATCAATTTAAGAGGAAAGATTCATTTTGGCTCACAGCTTTGGAGGATTCAGTCTGTGGAAAGTTGGTGCTGCTGCCTTGGGCCTGTGGTGAGGCAGCACAGCATGGCAGGGTTGTGTGGAGGAGGAAGATGCTTGCCTCATGGAAGCCAGGAAGCAAAGAACCACAAAACAGGGCTAGATTTTCACTATCCTCCTCAAGGGCATATCCCCAGTGACCTAAGTCTTTTCACTGGGCCCCATCATTGAAAGGACCAAGCCTTTAGCATATGTTCCTGGGGGAGACATTTAAGATCCAAACTATGGCAAACCCTATGGGCTCTGCCATTCCTAGGGCCCAGGCAGCAGGATGTGTAGCAAGAAGCCTTAGAAAGCTGCATTTGAGCTGGCAGGGAGGTAGCTGGGAGGTCACATGCCCAGGATGACAGCATAGAAGGGCCCTCCTGTGCCACACGCAACCCAGGCCAGGTCTAATTCAGGAAAACCAGGCCTTCTAAAATCATACAACCCTCCTTTCGGGGCCTAATTTGAGCAACAGTTTGGTTTAAAAATGAAAGTGGCCATGTCATTTATGATAGTTATGTAGTAATTAGCAGTGATCACAGTGCAAGTTTAACCCTATCCTGCTTAATCCTCAGCATGATCATATTAGGAAACGGTAATTGTTATCCCACCCTATCTTGTAGATGAGAAAGCTTGGGCTTTGAGAGATTATGCGATCTGTCTAGACTAAGAAGTTACTCCACAGTAAGCTGATTAAAACCTAAGTCCATCTCACTTCTATGTCAGTATGTTGGCAGTAGTTAACTCTGGAGAACTGACAACAGATGGTCTTTGTCCTGCTCTTTAGAGTGTTTTTATTTTCCCAGTTTTTTATGTAAAATGGAAAAAAAGTAATAACCATAAAAAAGAATAACATAACCAAACAGCAAGCCTTTGGAATACGTCTGTAGAAGATGGTGCTGGGGCAGTGATATCAAGTACGGCTCCTCATTCCTAGAACCCACATGCTGGTGACCAGCTTGAAACCACACTGAGCAGGCTATAAAATATTGAACTGGCTTGTGCATTAGCTATTGATTAAACTGTGAGTCTGTCCTAGGCCAATGTGATTTGCTAGATGAGCCTTCAGAGGGCAGGCAGAAACAGAGCTCCCTAGGCCAACGGCCGCACTTGAGGCCTCAGTGGTCAGTTCTATGGCGGTGCCTCTGATAGCAAGATAATAGCACAGCTGAGGACTTCATGACTCTTATGCAGCCATTCTTCCAGAACAAGCGTCAGCTGAAGAAAACAAACAGGTTACTCACTGATCAAGACCTGTCTTTCAGAGGAATGCATTGCTCCTCCTTGCGCCTCAGCCCCACTGTTCCCTGCATCAGCCTTTATGCCTCCTGCATTGCTGTGCAATCAATAAATAGTGGCAAGTCCAGAGCCTTGAGGTCTTAGCCTTGCAAGAGCTCTGACCCTCAGACCCCCATTTATGCAGCCAAACCTTTGTCTTGTCATATGCTTATCCTCACTGCATCCTCAGTCAGGTGGCTGGGGAGGGGGATCACACAACTCCTAGCACCCATGTTGTGCTCAAGGTCTTGGCTCACTTAGCCAGCATCTACTCCACTATTTAGGTTATTGTTGTTGTTGTTTTCTCAAATCCAGAGCACAGTGTTCTTGACAGATGAGGGAGACTTGGGGGGGCTTGACCCTGATAGACCTCCTCCTTCTCCTCCTCCCCACCCACAGGTCAACCCTTTTCGAGACCGCATCTGCAGGGTGTTCTCACACGACAACGTGTTCTCCTTCGAAGATGTGCTGGGCATGGCATCCGTGTTCAGCAAGCAGGCCTGTCCCAGCCTGAAGATTGAGTATGCCTTCCGCATCTACGGTGGGTGCTGTGGGGGACTGAGCAGTGAGAGGGTGAGGGCCACAGGGTCCCCACCACACCTGGAGCCCAGCCATATCAGCTCACTGATAGGATGGATGGTTAACTCTGGTACACTTGGGTCTTTGTGGGGATGTGTCATGTTGTTCAAATACTATGGAATAAAAAGATTCAGAGCCACTACCCCAGTAGATGGATGTCCTCCCCCGTGCTGTGCAATGCCAGTGGGACCACTGGGATTGCTGTTAGGTGGTAGTGTGTGGGCAAGGCAGGGGGAGCTACACGTGGTAGAAGGAGCATTGGATGGGAAGTTGAGAAATTTGACCCCTGGAAGTAACTCAGCCACTAAAAGGCTGAGCAACCTGAACAGATCATTTCACTTTTCTGAGCCTCTGAGGTCCTCTGACAGTTTCAATCTCTGAGACAGTCATAAGACTTTGCTAAAGTTCTGCTTTTCACCAGGTAGATGTCCTTTTAGCACTGCCGGCACTGCTGGGCCACCTGGGACTCTCAAAATGGAATCAAAAGAAAAAAAGCAAAGAAATTCTCCGAAGCCTTCAAACAGTACTCACAAGACTTTGCATCAGGGCAACTCCTTGGCCCCAGAGGACTCATACGAACAGCCCTGCACAGTTAAGCATTACTCTCTCCATCTGAGCTGGAGCACACATCTTCCTTTAGCTTCAAACATAAATGAGTAGACTCGTGCATGGAACACTTTCTAGCTTCAAGAACCTGAGTGTTTGAAGAACCATGGCCCCTGCAAAGTAAAGAGAAAGTCCATGAAAGAAGAGACCCAGAGAAAGGAAGCTCAAAGTTCATGTAAAAACTATGCATAAATTCCTTTCTCAATTCCATACCACATCTAAAGGGCAGACTTAAAAGTGGTTCAGCTCGGGTTTGAACTGAGATTTGAGCCACCACAGCATTTCATCAAGGCTGAGAAACAGAATTTGTGCAACAGAATTTGCCGTCTGAGTCCAGCAAATTGCCTGTTAAAACCCCAAATTTGGCATTGTTTTGAGAAATACAACAGTATACAGTCTTCACAACAAAACACTTGTAGTATACAAATGCTATCCAATATAGAAAATTTTTTTAAAAAAATAGAAACTGGCTCTGACATGCCCTAGATGTTAAAATATCTGATAAGGACTTTAAAACAGCTATTAATAACTACATTATAGGTAGAGACAGAGGGAGAGGGGGAAAAAGTGTGTATGGGGGCTTATTTTGATTATAGGAATTGGCTTGCATGCTTATAGTGCCCAAGAAGTCTCATGATCTTCTTGCTGCCTGTAAGTGGGACAACCAGGAAAGCTGGTGGTTTAATCCAGTCCAAAGGCTGAAGAACCAGGAGCACTGACATCTAAGGACAGGAGAAGCTGAATGGCCTGTTCTATTGGGCCTTCAGTGGATTGAAGGATCCCCACATACCCTGATAAACATGATCTTCTTTACTCAGTCTCCTGATTCAAATGCTAAGTGTATTTTAGAAACACCATCACAGACACAGCAAGAAATAATGTCTTGGGTATTTCTTAGCCCCATCAAACTGACACATAAAATTAACCATCACAATGACCATGCCTGATGATGTAAAAGAAAATATACTCACAATGAAAAAGAAGAAATGAAATATCTGCAGAGAAATAGAAACTGTAAGAAAGAATGAAATGGAAAATGTAAAACTGAAAAACAAACCACCTGAAATAAAAATTCACTGGAAGGGCTTTGGGAAGAGAATCACAGTGACAGAGGAATCAGATACAAGACCTGAAACCTGGGAACACCTAAGAGAAAACATAGGGGAAACACTTGAAGTCATAGGCACAAGCAAAGACTTTCTGAATAAGACTCCAACAGCCAGGAAATGATAGCAAGAATAAACAAATGGGACTACATCAAAATTAAAAGTTTCTCTACAGTAAGGGAAACAACTAATAGCAAGGAGACGTCCTACAGAGAAAATATTTGTTAGCTGCTCCTCTGACAGAGGACTAATATCTAAAATATATAAAGAACTGAAAATACCTAACACCAAAAAGTCAACTTGCCCAATCAATAAATGGGCAAATGAACTGAACAGATGTTTCTCAAAAGAAGTACAAATGGCCAATAAGTATATGAAAAATATTCAACATCTTCAGCCATCAGAGAAATGCAGATTGAAACTACACTGAAATTCCATTTCACCCCAGTCAAAATGGCTGCCATCAAGGATACAAGAAAAAAGAAACAAACAAACAAAAAAAAAAATAGTAAATGCTGGTGAGGCTGAGAGGATATGGGGAAAAAGAATCCCTTCTACACTGCTGGCAGGAATGTAAATTAGTATAGCTACTATGGAAATCAACATGGAGTTTCCTCAAATAACTGAAATCTAGAGCTACTATTTGATCCAACTATGCCACTCCTTGGTAAACGCCCAAAGAAATTAGTCAGCACAGCGTACCTTCATATCCTCCTTTCTTGTGGCACAATTCACAATAGCTAAGAAACGGAATCAGCCAAAGTGCTCATCGACAGATGAATGGATAAAGAAAATATGGTATACCTACAAAATAGAGTATCGTTCAGCCATAAATAAGAATTAAATTTTGTCATTTTTAGGAAAATGGCTGGATCTGGAGAGCACCACGTTGAGTGAAATAAGACGGACTCAGATAAACGTTGCATGTTCTCCCTCATTATGTGGAATATAAAAAGTTGAGGAGAAAGTAGAAGGGGGACTATTACTGGGCAAGAGAAAGAGAGTAAGGGACGGAAGGGGATGCTGGGGGTGGTCCTGGGAGGATGGCGGTGATCAAAACATATGCACTGAGACTTCACAGCCTGTGCTCTGGGAGGAGGGTGGGGCTGGGGGTGACCGTATGGAAATGACTGCAGTGTGTTAGGGGCATCTCTGAATCTGCCAGAATGAATCCCACTAATCTGCATAAGATACACTAATGAAAAATAAAAGGAAGCAGAGACTCACATAGACGCCCACGCTGTAGAGCTGGGGCAGGATTCTCCACAACAGCCCAAGGGCCCATCAACAGAGGAGCACATACAGGTACGGGACACAGAGACCTTCCCGCATTAACCAGCCCTAACAACAAATGCTCAGAAAACAAAACAGAGAGCTTGAGGGACCCTCAGGACAATCGAAAAGTGTAATATTCAGTTAGAGTCTCCAAGGAAAGGATAGGATGGACGAGGAAGAAGAAAAAGAAAAACCTGAAGAAGTAAAGATGTCCTAAATCTGACAGAAGACACAGGAAGAGAAGTGTAGATGAAGCCACGCACCCAAATTCTATTAGCTTAGTAGCCCCGGCCTGCGCACCACCGTCTTCCTCGTCCCAGACGGCTCCGAAGTCCAGGGCGGGGGCAGCGCCTCCATTCACACCTCCGGCCACAGGAGGAGCTGCGCCCCTCAGCCCCACGCTGCCCCGACAGGGCGGCTTCTCCGCGAGAAGGCCTGGGCTCCAAGAGCTGCCAGTCCCCGGCCCTTCCCTGTGCGGAAGCCGTGGGTGAGGAGGGCACCGTGGTAGCCTCCCTCTCCACAAATGCAGAGGCTTTGCAGGATGCGTGCTTGCGACCTCAGCCTGTCTGTGGGCGAAAAAGAGTCCAGGCTTGGCTTAGCTGGGTCTTCCTCCTGCGTTCCACAAAACCTGCAGTCAAGGTTCTGGCCGGATCGCGTTCTCAGCTTCAGAATGCCAGCCCGGGGAAGAGTCTACTTACAAGCTCCCTCGGGGTGCAGGGTGTGGGCAGGATTCATTCGGTCCTGTTTGGCCGACTCTGGGCGCTGGCTTCCTGCAGGCTGTTGGCTGGAGGTCGCCCCCGCTACCAGGGCCTGACTCAGGTCCTCGCCAGTGGGCCTCCCGACGTGACTGCGCCTTCAAAGACAGTGAAGGAGAGGGCCCCTCGGGGTGCCCTGCTGTCAGGGTGCAGTCTCACACACAGAATGTGATCTTTTTAAAAAAAATAGCACAACTTTTATTGGTACGTTTTAGGCACACATAATGATAACGCTCATCACAGGGCACGTGCATCTGTACATAGTGCGTCCTGCCCCTTTTTTCCCATACCCGCCTCCGCACGATCCCTCTTCCCTCCCTATGTACAGAAGCTTTGTTTCCATTTTTTTCTTCTATTTTAACTTTTTTCTTGTCCCTCCCTTCCTCTCTCCCTCTCTCCTCCGTTGTTCCTGTTCCCAATGGAAGACTTTCTTCCCCTTTCCCAACATCTATTATACATTTCATCCGTATTTTTTCTTTGGGTTTCTCACATCAGAGAAACAATTCATTATTGAAACATGTGTGTCTGATATATATCTATGTAAGAGTATGGTCTCAAGGTTCATCCACTTAGCTATAATGTCTGAAGCTTGTCCTTCTTGATGGCAGAGTAGTACTCCATTCTATTAAAAACCCCACATCTTCTTTCTCCATGTCTAGGCCGATGGGCATTTGGGCTGTTTCCAAGATTTAGCTATTACACGCCGTGTCACTATAAACATGGGTGTGCACATATCACTGTGGCATGGTGCTTCTAATTCTTTCAGGAAGATAGCAAGAATAGCTGTGTCCAGTGGAGCCTCTAGTTTTAGTTTTGTGAGAAATCTCCACACTGGTTTCCACAATGGTTGAATCCGTCTATTCTCCCACCAGCAGTGGAACAGGGTTCCTTTTCCCCCTCGGCCCCTCAAGGATTTGTTATTGATCGATTTCTTGATAACAGCCATTCTTTCTGGAGTGAGATGGAATCTCAGCCTTGTTTTAATTTGCATCTCTCGAATGACCAGTGATGCTGAACATTTTTTCATATACTTACTTGCTGTTTCTACTTCATCATCTGAGAAGTGTCTTTTCATTTCAGATGCCCATTTTTTATTGGGTCTTTACATTTTGGGGGTCTGATTTTTTTTGAATTGTTTATATATTCTAGATAATAGTCCATTGTTTGAGGAATAGGCAGTAAAAAAAATTTCCCACACTGTGGGTTGTCTCTTCCCTCTC